ATATATATATATATATATATATATATATATATATATATATATATATATATATACATACATACGTATATATATATATATATATATATATATATATATATATATATATATATATATATATATATATATATATATATATATATATATATATATATATATATATATATATATATATATATATATATATATATATATATATATATATATAATTACTACATGATACACACACACATGGCACGACAAAGTGCTTGTCAATCCACTAACTTCTGCATTTGGTGAAATGACATACTTTGTAAAAATGAACTGGGAAAGTAAACATGTGAGTAAATGGTTCCCCGTTATGATAACCTCACCATTGTGGTGATGCTAAATAATCGAAGCAAAAATTCAGGGAAAATATTACTATTCCTATCAGGACTTCCACTACAAGCTTTACTAGTACCACTTACTACTTTTGTTGTCGGTAGAGGGCCCCTCTTGTTACCTCTGTTACCACTGACGCTACTATAATTTTCACCGCTGCTTCTAATTGCCACCACTGCTACCGTTGCCTCTATTTCTATTATCACTTCTTCAACCTTTCCACTTCTACTCCAACTGGTGATGTTGCTGGTATGTTGGTGCTGCGGCCGCTGCTGCATGTGCTACTTTTATTGCTTCTATCATTACGTCTAATACTACTGGTACTACCACTGTTACAACTAGGACTTTCACTGCTACAACTGATTTTCTACTTCTATTACTACTTCTACTACTAGCACCACCACTACTACTACTCTTACAACTATTACTACTACGACTGTTATTACTACTACTGATACAATTAGTACTGCCATTACTAATTCCACAACTACTACCACCATTACTTCCTCTGATACAACTAGTTCTGCCACCACTACTGCTACCATTTTGCTACAACTACTACTTCTACTACTACTATCGCAGCTATTATGCTGACAATGACGGTCACAATCTTTTAAACACAACACAGCACTGAAAATCAATCAGGTTGCAATGACTAAGGAATAGAATTTGAAGTGAAAAATACAGAGTGGAAACAATAAAATAAACAATAACTAACGACGTACAAATAATAATAAACACCAGAAGCTGCCTCAACGCTAACAAAATATAAAGAAAAAAGATGTTGCTTCTCATTTTGCATTGTTCATTTAACGGTCTCGGTGACCGAGTTAACAAACGTTCTTGCTCCAGGCGGTCTGCGCCCTTTCCTGGGTTTTAATATTGATAATAAAAAAACAAAACAAAAATTAGAGCGCTGTTTTCTGAAGACTGACAAAATATGGCCACCGAATTAGGATTCGGTAGCCAAAAAGATTTGCTAATTACAGTTAAATATCTGGCAAGGGGACTGAATTAAGTCAGTATGTTTATGTAGGTCTACCTGACTGGCACTAAGTTTACACGTGGGCATCTCGAGCTACGGACGCGACTCTAAGGAGGTCAAGAAAAGCCTTCGAGTGAACATCACCGAGAAAGAGCCTTTTTACACCCGCTCCCCGCCAAGACCCTCAAGGAAGTGGAGTCTACAAAACTTTTCCGAATATGCAAGAAGTCCTAACTTCGCCGGCTCCAGTTGCCTGTTAGTCATATTGTCCCAAAGATAACCATTTTCTTAAATTACAAAGGAACTAAACTATATCATGGGATCTTCCACATCGTAAAAGAATTTCCCCGGCGATTGAAACAAACCTTCATAGATGAACGAAGATTTCACGAAAGAAAAAACAGCTAAATTCGCCGCAGAAGAGAGGAACGAAGGGCAGATAGAAAGGACACCCAGGCAACCTGAAGGACGTACATCCCCAACCACTGCCAGGCGGCGCACCACAACACAGCTCAACCCGCCGGGTGGAAAGGCCCGGCGATCAAACTGCTCTCCCGGTGCATCTCGTGTTGAAGGAGGCAGGAAAGGAGGAAGAGGAAATGCAATGACAATGATCAACTCATAAGGGTAATGATTACAACATCAATATCAATAATGATCAAGATACTGACGATGACGATGGCAATGATAATGATAATGATAATCATGATAATGATAATGATAATGATAATGATAATCATGATAATGATAACAACAAAAATAGTTATAATGATAACAATAATAGTTATAATGATAAGAATAACAATAATGATAATAATAATAACTAAAAATTATTATGATAATAATAATGATGATAATGATGACAGTAATGATAACGATAAGGATGAAAATATAAACATAATCAAGTTAATAATGATGACAAGGATTTTGATAAATATTAAAAGCAAGGTAATAACAATGATGCCAAGAACTTTAATCATAAAAAATGATAACAACAATGATAAAAAAATGATATCAATAATAATTTTAATATTAGTGATAATGATAATGATAATAATGGTACTTATTCTAGTAGCAGAAACATCGAAAAATATAAGGATGATAATGGAGATGATAATGAAGATACTAATAACAATAATGAGGATAGTAACAAAATAGTGATAGTGATATTGGTGATAATAATAATGATGATATTGGTAATGATATGGATAATAATAATGATAATTATAATGATAATGATAATAATGACAATAAGAACAATAAGGATAAAAATATAATGTTAAAATTATCATAATAATGCCAATGATAAAAAATCTTACTAGGAACGATCTTGTATTCACCGGCAATATAGTCTTTTTCTCTTTTGGTCAAGAGTACCTTGCGCGTTTCTTTTTGACCCTCGGTTCACATTTTCTTATTGGTGTTTTCAAATCTGCAATTATCTGAAAGGGGGCAGGAAAGTGATGATTTACTAGGATCTTGCCTTTCACGTTTCACCGCTTCAAAACAAAGGATCCTGAAGATAATCTGATGAATTACGCTAGACGTGTTTAGTTTTGTTAATGCCTTCCCCTGGAAATCATCACTTACGAAATTCACACGCACACCGGGTGACGGCACGGTGACTGCAACGGGCTGCTGCTAGCGATCCACTAGCATTTCCTCACTTCGTTTTGCTTTTGGCTTTGTATGCAATGGGTTTATTCACAGAAATGCTTATGTGGTTGTTATAATATGTATGTATGTATAACTATATATATATATAAATATATATATATATATATATATATATATATTTTTTATATATATATACAATATATATATATATATATATATATATATATATATATATACATATATATATATATATATATATATATATATATATATATATATATATATATACCACACACACACACACACACACACACACACACACACACACACACACACACACACACACACACACACACACACACACATATATCTGTATATATATATACATTCATATACGCGCACACATACGTATATGCGTATACATATATGTATATTTATACTATATATATATATATATATATATATATATATATATATATATATATATATATATATATATATACTTAAGTATATCATATTTACATAAAAATGTGTAGGTGTGTGTAGGTGTGTGATAGACTGATAGATGAATATATAGATAGGCAGATCGGTGGATAGGGGGATGGATAGATAGAGAAAGAGAGAGTGGAAAAGAAAGACAAAATGATGATAATAAACATTCATACATCCTCGTTGGCTGCCATCCTAACTGCCTTTCTCCCTCCATCTTCCTTTCTCCAAAGGGAAGAAGGGGAGAGGGAAGGAGCAAGGGGAGGAGGGGGGGCAAGGGCACTCCACATCCTCCTTTCTTTCCTGGACGCCAGAAGGTCGCGTCCGGAGAGCGCTTTAGGGCGGCACTGCTGTGACAGGAACCGGGACAATAATGGCTGTACTGGGATCTTTGAAATCATCCAAGGAGGGGCTATAAGGCATCACTGGTAGTTGATAAGCCCAGCCGGAAAGGATAACGGTCTAGCTTGCGAGTCTGTTCTCGGTAAAATGCGATACTGGTGTCGCCAGGTATTTTGGTATCAGTAATAACTAGTTCTTCGCATGTCCTAGTCTGCTCATCATTGCGTTAACCTAAATCGAATTAGAGCAGAATAATTAAACAATAAAAATGACAGTAAAAACACTCGATAGGCAGCACTGTAGAGACTACCATATAGTGCTCGTTTTTCCTTAGCACTCCATTAAGGCCAAGTATAACTCTCGTCTGAAATCATGCAGACAGAGAATCACAGTTTCATGGCTTCTCACCGGTCATTCACTTCACTGATGCTCGTCCGTCAGTCCGTAAACACACACGACAGCGCAGCCACTACCAGTGTTCTTTTTCGTGACAGAAAAATGGCTTTGTATAGTTATTACGATGATTATTCCTTCGTGTGGACAAGCCTGGAAAATATAGACAACTTCTGCGCCCTACGTTTTTTCATGGTTTTGAACTCTGTCACATCAATTGTTCTTTCGCCCTCCTCTGCATTAAGTTCATGACCTTTCCTGGCCCATGTCTGTATTTTGGAAAGCACCATTCATCTACTAATACACTGCGTGAAAAGAAGTAGGCGTCATTCCAACGCTGACGACACCAGTTTCCCGACTCGACGCCGCAGAGCGCCCGCTGAGGACGCCCATCGTCCCGAGCAGTCTTGTTCTGGGGTCCTTCTACCCGGCAGTGAGCAACTTTCTCGGGCCGGCGCCAGCAAGTCGACACGCGGCTGGGCTCCGGTGGTGTGGGTTTGTTTGGGTCCTGTGGAATGACAGCTATGTACACCCCCCAGCCCCCGCGAGTCCCCCCTACAACCTTCTACCCCCGCTGGATTCTACGTCCAGAAATTGCGATATATTCCTTGTGGGTGACTTCAAAGTTGTGCGTAGTTCTTTTGCGATAAAGTTTTCCGTTTCATTCTGTTGTTGAAAGAGGTGACAGGTATAGCTTGTCGATGACTTGCCAGAAGATTACCTGATATTTGCGTGACATTAGCAAGGCCATTGGAGATGCGGCAACAGCGCAGGGGTCGCGGGGTGGCTGAGAGCACATATGACAGGCGTGCGCGGACTCGCCAGCAACAGTTTCTTACTAGCTCTCGTCGGAGCAAGTACCCGAGGAGCCTTTAACACGAGCACCTGTCAAGTATTGACCCTCGCACACTTGCGCACCACCGCGTCGACACAACAACTCACGTGCACTCTCCAAGATGGTCGCGCTGAAAGCCCTGTTCGTCCTTGCCACCTGCACCCTCGTGTCTGGGTCGGCCATACCCATTTGGGAACTTCTCACCAAGCAAGAGAAGGTAAGATAAGAAGAAACGTATTTAAACAATGTTACAAAGTCAATGTACTGTCATAT